CATAATTATTAAAGCCTCTTAATAATTATTAGGGTCAATTATGAAATCATTTCCTATTTTCACATAATTAATTAATTAAATACCTTAATTAACGGTGCGGGTTCTTACAGTAACCTACAATGATCACACAAGGATCATCAATATAGAGTGAAATCAACCAAGATTAAAAAATATCAAAATTCTCCCCTACACAATGGTAGGTTCGGCCATTTAAGTGTTATTTTCCAAAATATTTTCCTAAATTTTCTTTTCATTTTTATTTAGCATCCTAAGGCTACCACAACACCATTTTAGGTGCCACATTCCATCCTACAACATCACAATCCCATTTTTCCATTTATTTCACTCTAGGTCCAATTGCAAACTCCCCACAATCCAATTATTTTTCCTTTGATTTTTCATGCATCCATTCACCTCACAACACCTCTAAATACCATTTAACAACACAACACTTTCATCAAATAATTTCACAACATAAAACCCCAATTTTTCCCAATATGGCCGAATTGTTCATGGCCCTACACCAAGAGTTATTCAATCCAATTCAACATTCTCACACATCATACAATCCTACTATTAACTCATACAAATACTCCACAACTCAATTACACGATCATCCCACATAGTCATTTCATAAAGTGTTGAATCATCCAATCCAAAATTTGCCTAAGTTACCAAATAAATCTACAATAATTTTTATTACATTTATCACTCAAAAACATCATTCTAAGTCACTTTCATCTAATACACAATTTCAATTTGAGCTCTCTAACTACATCAATCACACAAACTTGCTCTAGGTTTCATGAAAATTGATCTATCAATTCAACCAATAAAAGGTGTTGAAACTTACCCACAATCAAGTCATAAGACTCCTCCAGGTGATCCCCAAGCAATGGCTTGAGCAAACAACTCCAAAAACCCTAAAATTTCCTCCTAGGTCGCAGCTGGTTTTGCCCTATTTCTCCCAAATGAGTGAATTTCAAGGGTTAGGAGTAGCACAGTTGCGTTCGGATGATGTTTTACTTCAAATTTCATGTAGTGGAACATTAATTTTGGTTGAGATTTGATGTAGTTATGGTGAAATAAAGTTTTCAGAGCAATTTTTGCATACCAATGAAGGGGCTCCGGGTTTGGAGAAGAAGGAGGGAGGAAGGGGATGATGCAATAGTGATTTGGCCATGTGGCACAAGTCACTTAAGTGGGGTAGGTCCCACCGCCACCTCACGCGATTCAAACTAATTCAAATCTCTCGCTTAAACCACTAAACGTCCATTAACTCTTAGACTATTTAGAAACTCTAATTTTTAACATTAACCATTGTCCTTTAATTACCCTTTATCAGATGAATCCAGAGTTTTCCGGTCGTTCGAAGAAGTCGCAGTTTTAAGCTGTTGCGCGCATCGTGTGCACGCTTCTCCAAACACACTAATTTCCATCAATTTTCACCAGAAATCATATTTCCTAGTCTTATATACCATTTATAACTTATATTCAAACCTAGAGCGCAAAATTCATCCGGCACTTATCATTTGAGACCTCTTACTCAATTTTACCTTCCTAGGGTTACATGTTTGACTAATTACTGTTTTACCCTTCCTTTGTATTTTGACCTAATTTTCAGGATTTTCACTAATCATACCCTTTAATCCGTATTTACTATATTAATACATGTTTTAGAAATGCGAGGTGTTATAGGAAACGTTCCCCAAGATTATGGGATAAGGATACTAAAGCCTTAGGGACACCTATCTCTACTGAGTCACCTCAAAGCACGCAGACTTACCAAATTTGCACTCATTGCAATTTTTGAAAACGTGCTCAAGAAAAGCAATTGTCGAGTTAGCCATTAATACAACTGCTCCTTCCCTCTCTTTCTCCCACGAGTTTTCCCTAAAATCGTTCCATCTCCTCAACCTGTCATCAGAAGTTACCAGCCTTTAATCCCTGACCACTTGTTTTGTAACGTTCGCTCCCCACTACTTCTTCAACTTCCATCCATAACCTTCACATCCTTAAAATTTCTCACCTTCCTCACTTGCATGCCTATTTAAACCTTCTTCCTCCCTCGTGTTTATACCTTATTATTTTCTCCCAAACTCAGAAAGCCCAAAGTATCACTTTTCCTCCAATATTTCCCTTACTCTTCTCTCATTTTCCCTAATCTTCTTCAACCCAAAATCATGACAAGACTCAAGCTCACCATAACACCTGTCTCCAACTATACCCAAGAGCCCGAGATTACAAAAAGCAATGTAGCCCTCTATCCAGAAAAGTACATTCAGTTGAAGGATAAAGCCTCTATGCACACCTTCATACTTACTGCACTAACAAACCTTAGATGGGGTAAGTTTGCGATAGAGGAACTAGACTTCCATCCATCTTTGGTGGCTGAATTTCTATACCACACAAAAAGGCTTCCAGAAGAGAACCAGGATGATGAAGTAATAGTTCAGGGGAAGAGAGTCTCATTCTCCCCTGAAACTATTAAGAAGGTGCTCTCACTACCAACCGTGGACAACTGTCTATATGCAGAGTACATGGAGAAGAAAGATGACCCTGTATTCAGGTTGGAAATGAAGAAGCTAATAACTTTCGGGAAGCCCACATATGCCAAAGGAGCCACCTGCAAAGGTAGCTTGGTAGATAAAGCTAGGTTTTGGGCTTTGTTGGGTGTGAACTTGTTGGTTGCTTAGATATTAGTTTAAGAACGTTCCCTTTATTTATTTAGATCCATTGTTCCATTCTTAAATGGTTATATTCTCAACCTAAGACTTAACCCTTCTGAATTTGTTCAGGTCTTTTCACTGCTAACCCTGATTCCTCAGCTCATGAAGTTTAATGGCTCACAAGTTTCCATATTCCTATGGATCCTTTGACTCCAATAGTTAATAAGTTCAGAACCTTCAGTGAACGAGGTGGTTCTTTATTCCTAAGGCAACAAGTAGTGTTTCCAACACTACCTTCCTCCTCTGATTAAGTTGTCTGAAATCCCTTCCTTATGGAAGTTCTTTTCTCAGTTTGAGTTCAATTTCCATTGATACACAAATAATAAAGCCCACTTAATCACAGAAATACAAAAAGCTTTACTTCAAAAGTTTTGAATATAGTTCTTTAAGAACTTCACAACTTTTCTGTTCCATAAATAACTTAGCCCATGGCTATCACTATAAACATAATTATTCCAAAATGAAGTCCCATAGACCCGAGATTCAGTTCAGAGATAACGATTAGAAGAGAAAAGAAATAACTTATATTAATAAGAGACAAGATTAGGTTACAAGAAAATAAAATGGAGAAGTATGGAGGTTGCTCTTGAGGAGTCTCAAATCGAAGGTATAGAATGGAGGTAGAGTTGTTGTCACTTAACTATTGCTAGAAACTATACAACTGAAAAGCAAAAATTAAAACTATCCTAAGTGATCTCTTCTTAAGGAATTCGATGCTTTCTTCGTGTTGGAACGTCCTATTTATAGGCTAGAAGAGTGGATGACAAAGCTTGTAATTTCATTTGAGTTGCTTTCTTGACTGCATGAAAGGGGCGGTGGGAAGAGTGTTCTTTTGAGAGGCAAGTTGCTGGATGGTACACTTATTGTTGAGATTTGCCTTTCCTTCTGCACTTCCATGCTTGCTTTTCCTCTCACCCAATGGTAACTCTTTATTCTCTGCTGCACACATTTCTTTTTGCTTTTTAGAAGCTTCTTTTCAATGTTTCCTGCAAAGTGGTCAGAAAGATTGAGTTAGTGGAGCAGGTGTATTTAATGAATCAATCTGTTCCCTTTTCCTATAGTTCTCAAATGAATACCTCATCATCCGTTCCTTACTATGTTTTTGTTATAAAGATCTAAACATGTGTTTTTAATGCAAAATTTGGTCACCAGATGAAGGAACGAATGGCCTTTTATTGCCAAAATGAGCTTAGATGGGAACGAATTTTCGTCCCATCAAATACCCCAAAACTAAACTGTTGATTGTCCTCAAATAACTCAGAGATAGTGGTTAGGCTGCTCAATTTCAAAGAAAAGCTCAACATTAGAATCTTAACCAATGAGAAACATAATTATATTAAAAAAAAAATTACTATCCATAGATGGCAGAGTAGAAAGACTTCGTTCCAAGATAAGTGAAGGTTACTGATCTTCTGTCTCATTGTCACTCATGGTTGGTGTTTCTCTGTCCATTCCTAGATGTGATTCTTCAGACTTGCTTATCTGCTGCTTTCCAAAGAGGTATGTGTGTCTTCCAATCCAAAGGACTTTCCTGGGGAGGAATTATGGAATGGAAACAAAAAGTAATGTGAGTACTTGTGACACCCTCCCCTGTATGCATCCAAGGGAAGTGTCTGCTAAAACCGATTAGAGTCGCAATGTTATCGTATAAAATTCTTATTCTGTAAAAACATTTTGATGATACCAATTCAAATCTCGCCTGGAAAACTGACTTCGTAAAATAGAATCAGCAAGTAAATTTTTTTTAAACAAAACTTTCACTGCGCAACTCTGATTTTTCTTGAAAACAGTTGTGAAACTCAAAAATAACATAGCTTGCTGAAATAATAATTTTCCTGTAAACCTGTCTGTCTTGCAAAAATCATAATAAATCTAGTTTTCGGAATTTCATTGTAAAGTTTATATAATCTAAAACTAGACATGTGGGGCTTCAGGTGCATATAAATTATAGCCCATTCGAAACAGAACTCGCAAAGTACTAGATAATTCAGTGTATTTTTCCAAAAACCTCCTGACTTGTAAATATCATAATAAATCGGGTTGACAAGCTTTGAACATAATCTTTATATAATCAGAAAGTACACGACTGGGGCTTTACATACATATAAATTATACCTCAATCGGAGGTCTGTAGCCTCAAAACGATAACTTGCAAGGTGCTCGCTAAAACAGTTCAAAAATCCAAATTTACATACAGTAGATTTTGGTTTGACATTTTAATATCCAGAATCACCTAAGTTCAGACAGAATATAAAAATCATATCACTACTCTTTTCAAAACAGATTATACATCATAAAATGCCATTCTTAAAAGCTACATCAAGGCTGAATATACAATATGCATCCAACAGTAACATCAATTAAACAGCAGGATTTCCCAAGCAGCAGAACTTAAACAAAACATTTCCATGAAATCACGTCATCAAACACTTCTACGTCCTCCTGCAATTTATAAAAATTGAGCCCCCGAAGGGGTGAGAAAAATCCCAGTAGTGTGGCAGAAAATCCAGAAATGCGACAATGTTAATTTAAATATAGAATTTCCAAAATTGTCACATCATCAAATAATTCCAGAACAGATTCCAAGATATAATCAAAGTGCGTATATAACGCCAAATTACTAATCAAAGTGCGTATATAACGCCAAAGTACTAATCAAGGGGCGTATATAATGCCAAAGTAATGTACGTTCGTAGCACTACAGAGCACGTACTAACAAGCACAGTGGAGATTCCATAGTGGCTCCTCAAAAGGATTCCAACTGCGACCTATGCGAACTGAAGCCAAGTGTCCCATACCCTAGTACCGGAGGGATGCCTATATGATGCGTGCTCAAACGTATGCTTACTTTTATTATATACTCGGTTTCCAAGATGAATGCATAATGCTGTATGCCATGACATGATTGACTTCACACATACCCGACCCAAATGCAATTTTATGATGTTCATGCGTATGACTAGATATCAAAATCATAATTTATATATATATATATATAACTATGACGACAGAATCCGAGCCATAGTGTATATCCAACAGAATTCCAACAGTTCTTATTCCAAATCAATCATCCTATTCAAACAGAAATTCCAACAGTTCTTGTTCCAAATTATTCATCATATTCAAGCAGAAATTCCAAATCACTTTATAATCACCTTCAACAGCATCTAAACAGAGCACGAGAGCAACAAATCAAAAATTCAAGTATTAAACTAACAGTCACAAAGGGATATTCCACCGAACACTCACCTCGTTGCATACAACTTTTACTCAAATATCACCAAACAGCCCACTTATTTAGGACCTTGCGCACCTAAACAAACATATACGCCAAATCAGAATTTAATACATTTATTCCTATACATTATATAATTTTTCCATTCTCCTAAATTCTTGGTTCATCATCGGTTTCAGGGTTCTTAAATTAAATTAATATACTGACTTAAGGTTGCATTACCAAATGTTACCACGTGACAACACCCATGTTTTCTAGCATGCAACTCCGGATTTATTAAAGTCATTAACTAGAAGCTTCCCTTCCTAAGGTCTTAGCCGAATTACATGGTTCTCTTCCTATTTTAATTTTCTGACTTAGTACTAATTTTACCATTCACTAACAGATACAAATTTCAAGTTTTCCTAGGCATACATGCATGGTTTGGACCATTAATTAGAGACCTAAAATTTCTCATTTACATACATTGTCCTCATGACTAAGGAATGTGCTAACTACTCTTAAGCATGCTGCCTACTTAGCCATAAGCATGCTGCCTACTTAGCCATTACATGGTTAAGGCTAGATACTTCCTTCTAGTCCAACAAAACAGCTCCACATAAGATGAGGGCTGTTTTTCAAGCCCCAAAACCGGTTCTTAGGCATGAACAAGACCTTCTAGTAGGCTGCCTTCAACGATCTTTCACACATGCAAGACTCCATTAATTTTTCTAATTTAAGAGACAGTCCAACAAAATTTAAAGAGAGCTATTTCCATGCTCACAAGGTATCAGTTTAGGCTCACATGTATCAAGTTCTAGGGCTGTACAAAATTGCAGAATTAAAACATGTAGTTGCTGTATAATTATCTTTCTAACAAAAGGGCAGTCCAACAATTTAGATAGCTATAACCATGTTCACAAAATTCAGCTTTGGATTAACATACATCAACACCAAAAAGGGCGGTTCAAAGGATAGAATTAATGCAAGGGAAATTACCAAAATAAGTATCCTCCTAGTTAAACATGAGAGTGCGCTAATTGTGACCTTTACACAGGCTGTCTACTCGAAATTACAATATACAAGGCTACATCATTATTCTGCCCAAAAGGGCAGTCCTAAAACATGACAATTAATTCTCTTCCAATCTTAGAATGGTTATTTAAACATGCATACACCAAGGATTTACGGTTTGGGCAGAATTGAAAGAAAGGATTACCAAAACAGAAATTTCTTCTTAGAATCTACAAACCAGCCGAAACAGTGCAAGGGAAGGAGGAAAGAGAATAGAAACTCATCTTACTAGCCACTAGTGCACAAAGACCACCAGCAACCAAAGAGCAGTCCTACCCTTTTCCTTAGATCCACAAAACCGATTCCAGCTACATGCAAGGGAAGTTTTCATCAAAACAGGATGAGTTACCAAAGAACAAAGAATGGAAAGGCACCTCACCTCCTTGCTGGGTGCGATTCTGCCGAAGTAGAAAAGGAGAAGAAGGAATGTAGTTTAGGTGTTTTGTTTCCTCTTTAGGACACTCACGGCTCATAGGAGATGATGAGGGACGAATATGCAAGAGAGGTTCCTTCTTGGGATTCTTCCTTGATACGTTTGCGGTGGTGAAGAGAAGATGAGGGGCAAACATGCAAAAACTTAGATTGTCTTGTGTTCTCTTATGATGCTTGCGGTTTAGAGAAGAAGTAAGGGCTGAGTTTTATCCTTTTCTGTTTGTGATTGAGGAACAATTGGAGATGAGTCAGTCTATAGAACATTAGGAGGTGAATAGTTGGTCAGCAAAAGGGCTTGGCCGAACCTAGAGAAGAGAATCAAGAATCACCAATCTGTTTTCCTTGGGTAGTCCTTGTTATGCGCATGAGAAACTAGGGAACCAAAATTTTGGCTGAGTTTAATTCAAGAGAAATAAGAAGGAGAAGACATCATTTTGCTCCTTCAATCAGCGCATAGAGAGGGGAGATGTTGTCCTAATTTGATCCAAGGACACATGAAAAAGTAAGATTGCTCTTTGTCTCCACTGGGCGCTAGGTGATGATGAGGCTGCCATGGGCCAATATGATTTCATGCAAGGAGATTTCTCTCTTCTTATTGGGTGAAAGGGGCGGCAAGGGCAGATTTCTTTGGATACTTACACAAGTAATTAGAATTTTCTTTAAGATAAGTTAAAGGTTAACTAAAGGGTCCAAACTATCATCTCTTAATGAGCATTGCTTACTGTAATTTATTAATTATCATTTCATATGCCTCCTAAGTATTATATAAGATTTTCATAGGTTATATTAAATTAATCCTATTTTTTTAACTAGAGCTTTGAATTCTCAAGATATAGATATATATATATATATATATATATATATATATATATGTATGTATGTATACACTCACTTACAAATGCAGATCAATTAATTTTCCTAACTTAAATAAGTTCCACTCTAAACACAAATTTAATTCGAGTTTCAATCATGGTACACACCCCTAATTGCAAGTTATGAAATTTCCTAATTTTTGCGGGATGTTACAGTACTGGTCTTGGATCAAGGAATGTTTACATTAACTTTTCTGCTGAGAGTTAGTCTCTTCTGTTGGGGAACACCTTTTTCTTTATTTTTCTACCTTCTTTTCTTCCTTTGAAAGAATCTTGTTTGGAATTTTCTTCTGAATTCTTTTGAATGGTTGTTTCCACTTTCTTTTTCTTTGTCCTTCCTGCTCATTTTGTTGTTGTTCCTTGACGTTTAGTTTGACCTGGTGGTTTGTAGATGTGTATTCGAGTGTGTTGATGGAGGTGTTTGGATGTTATTGTGAGGGAACAATTGGTTTAGTGGGTGTCCTTATTCTTTTGGAATTCACCCGTTCCTCAACAGTACTTACAACATCAAAGCAAGTTCGGAAGTTTCACTGTGGTTACACCTTGGGAACGCTCTCATGAGTAAGTGTTTGGCATTTTTCATTCCTCATTTATGAGAGCTTAAAGAAGGAAATAAACAAAACCACCAACTGCCTTCCAAGTTTGATCTCCAAGCTCTGTCTGAGAGCTGGTGTACCTGTTCCTTCATATGAGGATCCATCCATTAGGTTAGTTCTTAACTTCAAAACCTGGAATAACTTGAGGAGCACATACATTGAAGGAGCCACCTCAAACCTCACTGAGCACAATATCAGATATGGAGTTTGGCTGGTTAAGGTTAAAAGAGTAGTAACATGGAGTATAAAGCTAATGAGTAATAATTGTTATTCTTAAAGTGAATTCTGCAAGTAGACAAAGAGAATTGAATTTAATCTTCAAATTTGTGAAGGATGTTGATCTGTGTGAACTAGCAGGTGAGGAACGAAAAAAACCAAACACATACTCATGAGAGAGTTCCCAAGGTGTAACCACAATGAGACTTCTGAACTTGCTTTGATACTGTTAGTACTGCAGAGATACTGGTGAATTCCAAAAGGATAAGAGCCATCCATCAAACATCCACTTCATTACAATCACACCAACCATCTCCATCAAAACACTCACATACACTCTTATAAACCACAAGGTCAAATATAAGGATCAAGGAATACAACAAAATGAGCAGTCAAGGACGAAGAGACAAGAAGTCATAACAAAAGAGGGAACAACATTTGAGAAAAATTTAGAAGAAGCTACCAAAGAAAAGCTCCATTAAAGAAAGGAAAGGAAGATAGAAAAACAAAGAAAGTGTGTTCCCCACCAGAAATGTCCAACAAAAACTCTCAGCAGAAAAGTTAATGCAAACGTTCTTTGATTCAAGACCAATCCATACACTACCTTTTCATCATGTTCCCAAAATTTCTCCATACAAAGTTCCTTTGATTAGAAAACACCAATACCTCCTAGGAAAGCAGTACATAAGCAAGTCTGAAGAATCATTACAGAGTTGACCATATAATCAAAACTCCAATGAATTTTTTCGTTCCTTCTCACAACAAGAAGGATTTGATATATAGCGACGCGAGGAGTTGTTTAGAGTCAAACTGAACCTATTATCTTGAGGGAACGTCTTCAAGACAGTAGGAAACGAATGACTAAACAGTTCAAATATTGTCTTTTCTCTTATTAACAATTCTTTTTAAATACTTAAAGGTATTCTTTAGAGTTCTCTCAAAGCCATAGGTATTCAATATTTTTGGTTCAGACTTAGTCAGATCATTACAGAGTTCCATTCTAACCAATCAAGGGTCCAGAAACCTAACCCACGCTTCTGTTTGGATAAAATAGCTCAAAATATGATTTTTTTCCAAAATATCTGGATATTCCTCGGGGGCATATCCGGATATCAATATCCGAATATTACATGGTCAATATCCGGATATCCATATCCGGATATCACAGACCCAATATCCAGATATCTATATCCGAATATTTCGCGACAGATTACAGTTCTGCATTTTCACGAAGATATCCTTCCAAGACTCTATTTTTAACACTTCCAGGCGTTCAAACATGCATTTTTAAGTGTGTTATACCATTTTTACACTTAGGTTACTGTTGGGTGGTTTGCTGATGGTGAAAAATTATAAGTTCTGATAGGGGACGTTCCTCTGTTCTTGCAGAACACAGATTCGTTCCTTTAGTTCCAACCCAAGTGCGCAAGTGCACGCATCAAGTAATAAAGGGAGTATTAATGCCCAAATTATCGTTTCCACGAGGATAGAATCCTAATTATTGTCTTACACTGTTTTATAAAGAATGAAAATGAGAAGAAAAGTTAGTAAATGAACTGTCTGGTCAAACGTTCCCTACTGTCTTGACAACGTTCCTCAGGAACAGTAGGTTCAATCTGCTGGCAAACAATTACTCGCTGCATTATGTATGTAATCCTTCCTGTTTAGAAGAAGGTGAGATAATAATCATTGGAGTTGATAGTTATAATTATATAATGTAAAAAAAACTACTAAAGCAGAAATAACTATAATCAAGAGACAACAGGGTGATGTTTTATAACAGTTAAACAGAAGGAACGGATTCACTGATTCAATCTTAAATAGTTGTTTTCTCTGCTCAAGACTTAGCACTTCTTGGCTTTGTCCCAGTTTCTTGTCTGCCAACTCTGATTCCTCAGCTCATGGACTAGATTGCTCACAAGTTTCCATATTCCTACGGCTCCCTTGACTCCAACAGGTACTTAGTACATAACCTTAAAATGGACGAGTTGGCCCCTTATTCCTAAGGTGACCAGTAGTGTTTTTGCCATAACACTACCTTCCCCCAATGGCTAAGCTGTCTGAAATCCCTTCCTTATGGAAGTTCCTTTCTCAGTATGTGCCCAATTTCCATTGGTACACAATGAATATAGCTCACTTAGCCAAAGAAATACAAAAAGCTTCAGTCAAGAGTTTTGAAAACAGTTCTTTAAGAGTTTCACGGATTACCCGTTCCACAGATAGTTCAGCTCATGGCTGATATTTTAAACATAATTATTCCCAACTGAAGTCCCATAGACCCGAGATTCAGTTAAGAGATAACGAATGGAACGAATAGAAAAACACTTATATTAATTTAAAAGACAGTTTACAGAAGAAACAAAAAATGGACAAAAATGGGTTATTGCTCGTGAGGAGTCTTAATGGTTGATACAGAGAAGAGAAGAGGGGTTGTCACTTAACTATAGTTACAACTTAAAATAAATCTAAGCTACTAACTACTACTACTACTAGGTGATCTCTTCCTTTCGGACTTCAAACCCTCCAGGATTCGATGATGTTTTTGTGTGTGGGTCGTCCTATTTATAGATGGAAGAGGAGTGGCAGTCTTGTAAATCCCTTAGAGCAAGTTGCTTGAATGAGGGGACGAGATGGTGGCAGCAGAGTGTGGAGACTGCGCAGATTGCTGGATGTAACAGGTTTTGGTGATGATTAGCCGTTGTTTGCAGTTTGCCCCATGCCTTGCTTTCTTTTTCAGCCAATGAGAACTCTTGATTCTCTGCTCTTCACGTTTCCAGCTGCTCAGTTGGTGCACCGCCTTGCTTTTAGAAGACTTTAACTCCACGTTACCTGCAAAGTGTACAGAGGCATTAAATGAGTGGAGCAGGTGCATTAAATGCGTCTCAGTCTGTTCCCCTTTTAATATATTTTAAAGGAATACGTTACCATACGTTCCCCCACTGTGTTTTTGTCACAAATGTGTAAAACAAGTGATTTTCGTGCTGAAGTTGCTCATCAGATGAGGGAACGTGTGGTATTTTGCCATCAAAATGGGCTTAGATGGGAACGAATTTACATCCCATCAGTTACCAACTTTCGCTTATTACATGCATCAAGGTTCATTCTTTTCAATAAAAACTCAAGAACAAAGGTGTAGAATGTACCCAAGGCTTTGTAAACAGAAAATGAATGGCCTTTAAGGTTGGAAAATCCACTCTAAGGTACTGTATACTAAGATGCACGAATTTAAAGCTTGGCTCTTTCTTCACAAAGCTCACTCCTTGGAGCTTCAATAGTGGTTTATAAAACTCAAACGCACCCTAACCACAAGGCAGCGCCACACATCCTAACTCAGCAGCCACAACACCTAGAGAAGGTATTTTTCTTTTCCCCAAATCTTGCCCACAAGCAACAATGGTGTTTTAGTGAAGAGGAGAAGAAGAAAAATGGTAGCTTGGAGGTTATATTGAAGAGGAGACTATGGTGTTAAGGTTGGAAGCATGGTTGCATGAAGAAGGGCATCAACGTGGGAATGTGTAAAACTTAGGGTTTTGTGCCCCACTTATCTATTTATATAAGTATACTCTAATCACTGGTATTAGTTCAAATGGCTCTGCTAATTATTTGGCTACCAAACTTAATATTCTGAACCTAGTAATTTTTTTAGGAATTATCATATTTTTATTATAATCTTCGCAGCACTTTGCCGGTACGCATTTCATACGTAGCTGGTATTAGTTCTGACATCAACGCTCATTATTCTTACTCCAAACTTGATATCTTTGACCTACATATTTTTCTAGGAATAATTATATTTTTATTATAATTTTTTGGGATACTTCACCGGTAAGCATTTATATCGCGAAGCAAAACCGGTATTTGGACTTTTCATCAGAAAAGTGACTTAAGCATTATTTGGCTTTTTAAATAATCATTTTATCATAATTATGCATAATCTTTATTAAATTCATGTTTCGGCATCGATATTGTTATTTTATTAATTATTTAGCGGTGCAGGTTCTTACACCACCCATGGTTCTAACATACTTTCCTTGCTACCCAGATCAATGTAATTTCGTAGGTACAAGTCTATTTTGACATCATCTTCTATGATTTTCTTCTTTCCACTTCGTGTTTTAGAGGTGGAATTTGGAATACTCAAATAGACTTAACATACTTCTCCAATTGGCCGGGGTGTTGTCGTTGGTCTGTATTTTCAATTTCCATCTGTTCGAGCTCCAAGTACTTCTTCGACCGAGTTGTAAACTCCACTAAAGTCCGGACTGGGTCTTTGTATACAGATTTAGCCAGCCTAGAAGTACCAAGTAATCCGGCAATTATTAAATGTAGATGAACATTCTTGGATAATCCGGGAACTTGTAAGGCGGCCGTTTTAAAACAGTCTAAATACTTCTGCAAGGTTTCCCCAGGTTGTTGTTTTATTTTTCCTAGAGCGAATTCGGACTTCGGCTGTTTTTTGCTAGTAGCAAAATTCAACAAGAATCTACCTCTGAACTCTTCAAAAGATCTGATGGATCCCGCCGGTAAAGATGAAAACCATGTTTGAGCTGCTCCCGTCAGCGTAGTTGCAAACAGCCGGGTTATCAGAGGTTCTTCAATTCCCTTAATGTACGTTGTCGTATCAAAGGCATCTAAATGCACTTGGGGATCCTGTGTCCCGTCATATTTTAGAATTTTTGATAAATTAAGGTTTTCTGGGAAAGGTGCGTCCACGATCTCGTCCACGAAGGGGCTATCATTGTTCTGCCCATTGTGATACTTCCTTCTGTAGATCCGGGATACATCATCCGGGTTTCTGGACGGGCATCTCCTATCCAGAGGTTGGGGACTCTCTCTCCGCCTTTCTTTACCTTCTTCATTGTTCCGGCCCTCTGGCCGGGGTACCTGATGACGAATCAAATTGGGAATGCGCCTTTGAGGTCCGGCCTCAATATTTTCGACGTCCCTCATTTGAGTCCGAGTTCTAACATTATTCTCCTGGGGATTTGTGATCCGCAGGTCATTCATGACCCGGGTTATAGCTTGATCCGGATTCGGGTTAGAGACTCGTCCCACCCGGGCCTCCAGCTCTCGCATCTGTCTAGCACCTGCCTCCCTTTCAAGTTCATGCCTTCGCTCCATCTCCTCCATTCTTTGAAGGACCGCGGCAACAGCCAGATCTATCACTCGCGAGTCACCTCCTGTACCATTTGGTTCTTGTATGGCATTCACAACTTGTTCTTCCGTCGGTTGTAAACCCTGCACGTATGGGGCATCCATATTGACGGCTGGGGTTGATGCCGAATCAAAATGCACATCACTAACATGCACCGCATCAGTATCTATCAGTTGATGGTTCAAAGGATCCTCCCTGATTGGAGGAACAGGCTGGTGCCTGGAATTCGATCTTGAAGGTTGTCGATATCCACTTCTCGTCGTCCTTGCCATCTCGGCCTCTTAAATCACGTGGTCATGGGTTCGGTCCCCACAGACGGCGCCAATGTTCTGCCTGAGGCAGATGCGTCCGACCGTAGGTCGTAGGTCAGGTATTTGATGTTGGATCTAGTGCTTTCTCTCTAGATACCTATGAGTTAGGTACCTTGGGGACAACGAATCACCACACACTATATGATGGCCTGAGCCAGAGGGGGTGTGTGTGTGCACTGTCGTGATTGCATAAAATAGGGTTCGAGGGATCAGTCATACCTGTGGTCTTTAGCTCCTATTTATAGAGCTTACCTTTGGACTTGTGCTGATTGAGCTTCTCGTAAGCATGGGCCTTTCCCAGGTCCATAACAAGGTGATAGAAACTCTTTGTTATGTCTTTTAGAGGGTTTAGATTATCCGTCGAAAGCTACTTTTAAAACTATTGACGACATAATGTTTTTTAAAATCCCCCTTTTAACGGCTTTCTTGAAGCTATTTATTGTTTTTAATTTTAAAATCAAAACAATACCCCAAACATTTGGCTCAATGGTTGTACTAATGCAATTTTGAAAAGTAATTATAAGAACTATTCATTTTTAAAACATATAATCAAATTATTGCAGTTAGTCTTGCATGTTGATCAGATGAAATTAGTCTTACACGTAAGTCATGCAGGACTTGCAATTGTCGTAGGTTGGGAAGTCTCATGTCAGCTATGCAGGACTTACAATTATCGTACGCTAATAAGTCAAGCATGGTTGAAGTGCAGGACTAGTCCCGTATAAGCCAAGTGACACGATTTTTCACATTTTAAAAAGTCTAGCATGAAATGTATGCAAGGTTGGTCCCACACGTTTATGATGAGCGACCTTGTAGTCCCGTATCAAAACCATACAGGACCAATCCTACATGCATTTTATGCAAAACTATCTGCATTAATTTGGTGATATCTTTTAAAAGTGCGTTATTCCAAAAATTTATTTTTCAAACCTCATCAGTACGGTCATTTCCCTCGAAATTAATATCTTTGGGACCTTTTTATTTTTCATTGTATAATGGACTGTGAATTGTGTGTTCATCATATAATATACACTTGTTAAATTTAGGGTTCGTTTTTTTTTTTTTTTTTGCAGTAAGCTTAATACGACATCGTTTTGGAACGAAAATCATGATATTTTTGTAATTTTAATTTATTTCAAGATTATAATAGTCTTTATATTTATAATTTTTTAAGATTTTTTTTATTTTTTATTTTTGGTTACAAATTTTTTAAGATTTTAATACCAAAACGACATCGTTTTAGGAATGAATGCAAATAACTTATCTACAATAACTGCAGAAATATTTTTTCCTTAAATTTATTTAAACTTTTTCCTCTTAAAATTTATTATCAAATAATTGGCCATAAAGGCTACGATCATCTTTCTTGAATCCAAGTTATAATTCGCACATGCATTAAAACATTTAATCTTTGTAAAATACTTCAAACACATAGGGACTTCTAAAAACTACCCTCGGACTTTTCTGAAATGAGCTATACACAATTTGTTTGTTTTCCGCGACCAATTTTATGAATTACAAATTCTTATGCAATAAACCGATTGATTCCTGCCCTTGATGTCATTTAATACTATCAATGGCTGCGCTTATAGGGGCATGGATGCAACCTCCTTTGGAAGGTGCATGCGAGACGGTGTCACGGTTTTGACAAAGATTCCACAAGACACATGATACTCTACTCAAGACATTGTTGAAAATTCAGAACTTTTGAACTTCGTGGTTATTTGATAAGTGTATATTATATGATGAACACACGATTACAGTCGATTATACAATGAAAAATAAAAAGGTCCCAAATTGGGTTTCAACTACATTCTTCCATAACCCTTTACACAAATTGTTAACTATTTATAACCATGTTAAAATTACATTTGCATCAGAGAATGTTAGATAAAATATAATCAGAAAAACCTTATATACAAGTAAAAAGCCAGTTACAGTATGCTACCTCTGCAATATTTTACATAGATAGAAATTAGTTTATTCACATAAATGCATGTAAAATCATACAGTCACTCACAGTTTGATCCAAAGTGCTAACTTTTCAAAAGCTCCTGAAGCATATTCCTTGCCTCCGCCAAAGTGCGAGGCCAGGACACTTCTTTGGCCCATATATTCTGCACGGATTGCATATTCACCATTTCTGTAAGGTATTCTTTCTCCAACTGTCTAACTTCCTCTGCATCCATCACACTAGCAACTACATTCTGCTTAGATAAGGTTAAAAGCCTTATTTAGCCAAATATTTAAGAGGAACCAAGGAAAATGAAAATGAAATGAAGCAAGATGGGAAATAGTATGATTCTGTACAAATAATGGGGCATAAATGTCGAATCAGTAAAAACATTACAAAAATCAGCCAAAAAAGGAAAGAAACAATGTACCCGGACTTTCGAGAGACACTGGTCTCTCCCATTCTCCCCTATTTATTCCGGATTCCTCGTAAATACAAGATTAATCACCTTTAATTACGAAATCAATCATCCTTAATTACATAGTGAATCACTCATTGATAAGAATAAGGAGACAACACCTAGTGATCCATTGCAATTGCCAAATGGGCCAATCACAATATCAAGGGCCAAGAAGTTTAAAGAAGCTCTTAGTGGGTTGATCCAGCAAATGTGGGCTAATCATGAAGACATCAAGCCCAAATTTATTCATAATCAGAATTTAGTCAATGTCATCAATGCAAGGGAGGTTGAGTGGAATGAGTAGCAATTTCCAATGACAATTAATGTTTAGTGGGCTGAAAGCATTTTCAATGTTATTAATGCTTAGTGGGGTTGATTCACATTTCCAACGTCATTAATGTTTGTGGGCTGATTAGAGTTTTTTCCTTTTTCCAAGTTGTCAACTTTAAATTAGTGTCTTTTCATTTGCAAAGTCTTTTCCTATTCTTGGAGGGATGTTCCAAGTATAAATAAGGGAGGATATAACTCTTGTAATCAGATTTTGAAGTTATAATATAATAGAGAAGTTTCTTCTCTTTGGTTCTTATCTAGAACTCTGAACTTATCAAGAAGTTTGTTCTTGTGGCGTTCAAACTAGACTTATCACTCACCTTCTTCTTTCTTGAGTATGGCGTCTTTATCCTTCTTATACCTTTGGTTCTTATCTTCCATAGATAACCGGTCAAGGTTCTTTATTTCTTATTTTAAATTTCTGATTGTAGAAACGATCCTAACTAAATTGGTCTTGGGTCTAATTGAATTTGAAATATATTGTATATTCAAGTGTGTATAACTGTACAAGGAGGCTCTCTATTTATAGAGACTAAAAGACCTAATGGGATGACCTAATGGGCCAAGCCCACAATCTAGACTATTCTAGACCATTCTAATAATAATAAATTAATATTATTTCTAACACTCCCCCTCAAGCTGGTGCATATATATCAAAAGCTCCCAGCTTGTTACAAATATGATCTATTCGGGGACCTCTAAGAGCTTTAGTGAATACATCCGCAAGTTGATCATTGGAATTGACAAATGCTGTCTCGATCTCCCCTGACTGGATCTTTTCTCTAACAAAATGACAGTCAATTTCTATATGCTTGGTCCTCTCGTGAAAGACTGGGTTAGAGGATATATGCAAAGCGGCTTGGTTGTCACAAATGAGCTTCATAGGCCTTTGTTCACAGAGATGGAGTTCCTTAAGCAATCGTCTCAGCCAGATGAGCTCACAAGTTGCATTTGCCATTGCCCGATATTCTGCCTCCGCACTGGATCTGCGACCACAGTTTGCTTCTTATTCATCCAAGAGATCAAATTTCCTCCGAAGAGAACACAATACCCTGAGGTGGATCGTCTATCTGAAGGAGAACCTGCCCAGTCAGCATCTGAATAACTAGAGATCTCTGAACTCCCTTTATTTGTATATAATAAACCTCTTCCTGGCGCCTTTTTAATATATCGGAGAATTCTAATAACTGTATCCCAATGGGAGTCACAGGGAGAATCAAGAAATTGACTTGCAACACTCACTGCGAAGGAGATATCTGGCCTTGTCACAGTAAGATAATTCAATTTTCCAACTAGTCGGCGGTAGCGACTAGGATCTGGCAATGGCTCCCCCTGTCCTGGTAATAACTTAACATTGGGGGTCCATAGGTGTATCAATGGGTTTACAGCCTAACATGTCAATCTCATCTAGGATATCCAGTGCATACTTCCTCTGACAGATGGAAATGCCCCGCCTAGACTGTGCAACTTCGATTCCCAAGAAATATCGAAGTCTGCCAAGATCTTTGGTTTGAAATTGATTAAATAAATGCTCTTTCAACTGATCAATCCCGGTCTGATCACTGCCTGTAATGATAATGTCATCAACATAGACCAAGAGATAAACGCACTGGCCAGAAGAGCTATGCCGGTAAAAGACAGAATGATCGGCTTTGCTTCTGATTAAGTCAAAGGATTCAACAACTGAACTAAAGCGGCTAAACCAGGCCCGAGGAGATTGTTTCAGGCCATATAAAGATTTCCGAAGTTTACATATCATTCCAGAACTCTCCCCCTGAGCAACAAAACCTGGTGGTTGCTCCATATAAACTTCCTCCTGCAAGTCACCATGTAGAAAAGCATTCTTAATATCAAGTTGGAGAAGGGGCCAGTGATGAATGGCGGCAAGGGCAAGAAACAGGCGAACAGAAGCCATCTTAGCAACAGGAGAAAATGTATCCCCATAATCAAGACCAAAGATCTGTGTGTATCCCTTGGCCACTAAGCGAGCTTTAAGGCGATCAACAGTGCCATCAGGACCAACTTTAACTGTGAACACCCATCGACAACCAACAACAGACTTCCCATGAGGAGCACGAACAAGATCCCAAGTGCCATTGGAGTGAAGTGCCTGCATTTCATCAAGCATCGCCTGGCGCCACCTGGATGAGATAGTGCTTCACCTGTGGTTTTAGGGATGGAAACAGAAGAGAGACTAGAAACAAAAGTAAAATGTTGTGAAGAAAGTCTGTCATAACTCAAGAAAGAATAAAGGGGATGACGATTTCGAGTGGATCGAATACCTTTCCGAAGGGCAATGGGAGGAGTCTCTGATGGAGGATCCGGAGGAGAAGAGCCGACGGGAAAGGGCGATGAGTCATCAAGAGGCAAAGTCGGAGGAAGTGCAGGCTGACGACGCTGGTATTTGAGGAGAGGACGATCTGCAGGTATGGAGGTAATGGGTTGTTCCTCTGGAATAGGGTCACCTGCAGCTGGTAAAGACAAGTCAAGAAAAGGAACAGGAAAGACCTGATCAACCTGTGACACTGGAGACGGAGTAGAGTGAAAAGGCTGCTGATCAAAGAAAGTGACATCAGCAGAAACGATATAACGCTTGAGATCAGGAGAATAGCAACGATACCCTTTTTGAAAACGTGTATACCCAAGGAAAATACATTTGAAGGCCTTGGATGTCAACTTGTCTTTACCTGGAGTAAGATCATGAACAAAACAAGTACAACCAAAAATATGTAAAGGCAGAGGATAAGAAGGTGCTCCGGAAAACAAAATACTGTGGGGAACATCATTATTTAGCACAGAAGAGGGCATGCGGTTGATAAGGAAACATGAGGTGATAATAGCATCTGCCCAAAAACGGAGTGGGACGTTCATATGAATGAGAAGGGAACGTGCAGTTTCAACTAGATGTCTATTTTTACGTTCAGCGACTCCATTTTGTTGTGGAGTGTGGGGACAGGTAGTCTGGTGTATCGTCCCATGTGTATCCAGAAATTTAGAAAATTCAAGAGACACATACTCTTTTGCATTATCACTGCGCAAGATTTGAATAGAAGCACCAAATTGAGTTTTTATTTCTGCACAAAACTTTTGATAAATTGAAAATAACTCAGAACGATTTTTCATTAAATAAACCCAAGTGCAGCGGGAGAAATCATCAATAAAGGTTACAAAATACTAAAAACCCAAAACTGACATAGTCCGACTCGGACCCCAAATATCAGAATGAACAATAGAAAAGGGAGCAGCAGCTCTCTTATTGACTCTACTAGCAAAGTATGTTTTCCCTGCTGACAAGACTGACAATTCAAAGACTTAAGACCTGACAAAAAAGGAACCATATGCTGAAGCTTCGAGAGACTTGGATGACCCAGACGGCTATGGAGAAGCTCAGGAAACTCTGTGAGAGAGCATGCAACTGGAGCAGAGGGTGCATGCAGATAGTAGAGACCTCGTGACTCACCGCCCGCTCCAATCGTCTTCCCCGTACCCGGATCCTGCATAGAAAAAGATTGTTTAGAAAAGGTGATAGAGCAAGAAAGAGAATGGGTCAATTGACTAACAGAAATTAAATTAAAAGGAATGCCAGGGATGTAATAAACAGAGGTTAAAGTCAAGAAGGGAGTGGGTTCGGCTTGCCCAATGCCACGAGCAGGAGCCTTGGTGCCATCAGCAAGAGTAACAGAGGGAAGATTATTAGAAAAGGTAAGGGAAGTAAAAAGATACTTATTACCACAAAGATGATCAGTAGCACCTGAGTCTATTATCCAGGGTCCAAGAGACGATTGAGAAAAACAAGCAACATGATTACCAGTATCTGGAGCAGGTGGCTGAGAAGAACTCTTCTGGAGAAGGGCCTCATAGTCTGCAGCGGAAATAGTCACTGATCCGGTAGAGGGCGGCACAACATCTGTTTGAGCAAAGTTCATATGTGGTGGCTTCAAGTGAGGGTACTTTCTGTAGCAACGTTCTTCAATGTGGCCCAGATTTTGATGTAGGTGCAGATTTAAGGACAAATCCTTTTGAAGAGGGAGGGAATGATAAGAATAAGGAGACAACACCTAGTGATCCATTGCAATTGCCAAATGGGCCAATCACAATATCAAGGGCCAAGAAGTTTAAAGAAGCTCTTAGTGGGTTGATCCAGCAAATGTGGGCTAATCATGAAGACATCAAGCCCAAATTTATTCATAATCAGAATTTAGTCAATGTCATCAATGCAAGGGAGGTTGAGTGGAATGAGTAGCAATTTCCAATGTCAATTAATGTTTAGTGGGCTGAAAGCATTTTCAATGTTATTAATGCTTAGTGGGGTTGATTCACATTTCCAACGTCATTAATGTTTAGTGGGCTGATTAGAGTCTTTTCCTTTTTCCAAGTTGTCAACTTTAAATTAGTGTCTTTTCATTTGCAAAGTCTTTTCCTATTCTTGGAGGGATGTTCCAAGTATAAATAAGGGAGGATATAACTCTTGTAATCAGATTTTGAAGTTATAATATAATAGAGAGGTTTCTTCTCTTTGGTTCTTATCTAGAACTCTGAACTTATCAAGAAGTTTGTTCTTGTGGCGTTCAAACCAGACTTATCACTCACCTTCTTCTTTCTTGAGTGTGGCGTCTTTATCCTTCTTATACATTTGGTTCTTATCTTCCATAGATAATGGGTCAAGGTTCTTTATTTCTTATTTTAAATTCCTAATTGTAGAAACGATCCTAACTAAATTGGTCTTGGGTCTCACTATTCTTGGTGAGGTTCATATCACTCATAAAGGAATCCTATGATTACAGAATCAATCACCCATAAATACAGACTACTACTAATTGTTACTGTTGTAAATAGGCTATTGTCTTGTGATACAGACCAAATTACAAAATCAATAAAAATAGCAGAACATAATTCTTTTTGGCCTGAATAACATCAGAGTTTCATATAATCTTTGAGAGACAATTACAATACAGCAAAACAGAGACAGTTTCAGAAACGAAGAAATTACAATGAGCTATGAAACAACTTGAAAATTGCAGAAAATGTAAAAGGATAGTCGTGAGGCAGTTGGAGAGGCCTCACTCTCTCCCAAGGGTTCCAATCCAACAATATTCTCCAAGATGATCCTTTCAAGCACCAATCCAGTCATAATGGGTCGTTTCACATGTAATAGGATATTAATGTCTCGTTTCACAATCTTATATTACATGTAATCTAGTCACTGCAACATGGTTAGTAAGCATTTCCCTTATTCCTAATTCCATTTTAGTGTCTTCAATCATGTATTAGTGTTAGCATAATTCATAATGTAACATCCTGGGCGCTGACGAGGGCGGGGAGTGATCGCCGGTGCGAAAGGGCATGGACAATGAGCGGCTCCTAGCAGGCTTCCAGCGACGGAAGTACATGAATGAATCGAATCAACACTCAAAAGAGAGGGATTCCTGAGACTGTGTTGGTATGGGACGATACAGTCGGGAATAGCTTATAAGAATTAATTGGTACTACCTATACTAACAAGATGCATCTACTTTTCGGTAGCCCGGAACGGAAGAATTCCATAGTTAAGCGTGTTTGACTTGGGGCAATTCTGGGATGGGTGACCTCCTGGGAAGTTTTCCCGGGAAGTGTGCGAGTGAAGACAAAGCACGCTGAGAAGTCTCGTATTAGTGTGTGGGGACAGTCGTTGATCCTTGCAAGTTGTCAGGCGTTACACATAACAGTAATTCATTTTAGTATTTCATTTTCCATTATCTTGTGAATTGGTACTGAGTTGTAACACATTCCCAGCAAGGAAAACTAACTGTTCTTTTTTGTTTATGAAGATGATATCATTATAACAGGTGATGATCCAGTGGATAGGCGCCTCTTACAGGAAAGATTAACTATCAAATTTGAAATCAAAGACCTTGGGAAGCCGAGATATTTCTTGGGAATTGAAATAACCTATTCCAAGCAAGATATTTTTCGTTGTCAATGAAAGTATGTTCTTGATCTTTTGAAAGAATGCTGGAAAACTTGGGCATAAAGCCACCAACACACCTGTTGAACAAAATCACAAATTGGGAAATGAAGAGGAGAATCCTCTATCTAGTTGGCAAAGCATAGTATAAGTGATTGGTAGGACGATTGATTTATCTGATCCATACTAGACCAGATTCGGCTTATGCTGTTAGCATAGTTAGTCAATTCATGCATGGCCCAAGGGAAAGACACTTGCATGCTGCGGAGAGGATTCTTTGGTACCTCAAGGCTATTCCTTGGAGAGGATTCCCAACAAGTTTACATTAATGCGGACTATGCTAGATCTATAACTGATCGATGTTCATGCTCCGAATATTGCATGTTTCTATGTGGCAACCTAGTCACATAGAGAAGGAAGAAGCAAAGTGTGGTTACTCGGTCAAGTGCAGAGGTAGAATTTCAGGCCATGGCTCTTGGTATTTGTGAACTATTATGGTTGAAGATTATTCTAGACAATCTCAAAGTGAAACATGAAGGACCTATGAAGTTGTTCTGTGACAAAAAGTCAGCCATTTGTATAGCTTGAATCTAGTTCAACAAGACCGAATAAAACATATTGAGATTGACCACCATTTCATTAAGGAAAAGCTAGATAGCGAACTAATCACTACTCCATATATCTCTTATGGTCGTCAGTTAGCAGATGTCTTGACAAAGGATCTTCCTACTGACAAAATTCAAGATCTCACTAACAAACTGGGAATGATAAATATCCATTCCTTAGCTTAAGGAGGAGTGTTGTAAATAGGCTATTGTATTATAATTAGTCCCACATTGTTTAGTTTAGTCATTCTTTTATTTGGCTTAATCTATACAATAGACTCGTGTACATTGGGTTGTGTGCAATACATTATTCATAATTTTTATATTTCAATTAATACTCATAATTAATATTGACTCCACCCATAATAAAATCCCTACCCTTATTATGCATAGCATGATGAAGGATGATGTATTCCTATATGCATATAATATATCTTAACTCACCCATATTCTGCCGACACATGCATTGAAGATTATGAACTTGAGGAGATTTTCATCGGAAATGCAAAGTGCATTGTCGGGAGTAACAGAAACAACAAGATCTTGGTAAGGAGAATAAATTGATAATCCATGGTTTTTCACTGTAATTCTCTTGTAATTCTTCAAAATTCTCTCTAGATGATAAGATGTGGTGAGTTCTTCATGTAGTCCCAACAAAGTTGCTGCCCTTTCAGCATTAGCCCAGCAACAACATGATGATGACCCATCATCTGCATGAAACATCAAAATGCCAGAGAAAATATCATTAAACAAAAAACTTCTGAGAGAAGCTAGCATATAGTGGGGGTCCAAAAAACGAGATATGAAAAAGTGGAGATGGTGAGTTTGCTTGGTAGGATCTGCAATTGAAGAATCATAGAAACGAAGCTTGCTTTTAGATGTCAAATTGATTGTCCTAGGGACAAGTATTATCTACCACGTGATTGAAGAAAGCACACATGCCAACCCTATCTCAATACTACTTATCTGAATCCTTGCATGATGATACCTTGGTTAAAATATTGTGCAATTCTATAGTCCATATCAAATTTCTCTTTCTGTAAAATTTTCTATCGCACGAATATAAGCACCGCTTATTGACTCCCGGAAGAATTTGATGAAATGTACAATCGATGATAAATACCATGTATATCAGAGACATCATCACACAAGTTGCTTCCAAGTGAATAAATATGATCATAAATCATAAGTACACATACAGATAAGGAATCCGAATGTCATAAAATAAAGAGCAATACGAGCTCAAGATTAGAAGCTAGGAAAGATAATCTCAACCAAGCCAAAAAGTGGACATAATTTATGTGGAATAATTTAAAAAATATGTCGAATACGGATACCTACAGAAGACATGCACATCCAAGACATAGAAAGTTATTGAGTTGTTCTTAGCTGACTTCTCTCAAGTAACAATTCGAATGGACTTGATCTACATTACAAGTACCTTACCCAACAAAAAACCAGCAAGTGGAATGTCCAGAAGAGTCCCGAGAGTATTATTTTTTGTTTCTGAATTTGAATATGTGTTCTTCCTCTCCAGAACTAAAATAATGACTGCAACAACCTGTTCATAACAAAAGCAGTAAAAATAACTTCCCGATAGCACAAATGTTCATTAGAAAATGTAAAAGAATTTACCCTGCATCGAAGCACTATTTGAGTATGACTCTGGCACTGAGGCAATTGAGAAATCAAATAAGAGAAATAATCTTGAGATGCATTGTATGCATCTTTAGTAGGTCTTAAATTGGAGGACCTGTCACTACATTGTTTATCATATACTTTCATCGATTTTATTACAATAAATGACACAGGCAGCAGCATAAATTTATTTTGGGCCCTGCAGAAGCAAAGATAAGCAATCAAATTTGTTGCAAAATTAAACAAAATTTATATAATCATTAGAAGGATGAGTCCTTCATGTAAGAGCATATGGGAAAATGGAAGAGTAAAATTGAATAGAAAGAGCAGATTGGCATGTAAAAGTACACAAAGCATCCTAATCAATGAGATTTCTTTTTTACAGAGTTCACAACTGCCAATATTACTATTTCTGTTACAGTGCAGTGAAATAATAACTGGAGCCCAATTATCTCTTTTCAAGGCCTCCAGTGCATACCTTGCATCAAGAATTCGATGAAATGTTGCAGTTACACCGGGTCCCAAACCAGTAGGAAAAGCATATTTACTTATAGAACCAAAAATATTCACCTAAAAAGAAATAAATTAACATGAGTAAGTTGCAAAAATAAGCACATAATATAAATATATAAATTGGGTGAGAAGGGCTTGCAGTTACAATATGATGATGCACTAAAACATGAATGCAGAAACTCCTCCTAGTTCCAACAAGGTCTTTCAATTGAAGAGCGTCAAGGCTTGCACCACTTGAGCGCGAGTTGCAGAAGTTAAAGCCAATGTCATGAATTTCAACCACATTACCCTCGAGAGAAATCAACTTGCCCTCAGGAAACAAGCAGTTTGAACTCAGAGACCCAGAACAGAAAGTAGCCGTAGCCACTGCAGTCCCAGTGCTCAAAGAAATGTTAGAACTCTTTTCTGATATTGCAAGTTGCAGACTTTGACTATCTTCTGGTTCTATAATCTTATCATCCAGGAAACCTGTATGACTGATAGGCAGATAAAGACAAACATTTGAACAGACACCTGAATAATCATCATTGGACCTCAGCAGAAGTTGTTCAATTTGAATTTTAGGCAAAACCCCGTCAATGGTAGGAGATAAAGAATCTTTTGCAGTTGTATATTCTGATTTATAATCGAAAAGAACCTCATCAGAAATAAATGAAAGGCTCCAGATATGTTTTCCAGAATCAACGAGAAATTTAGCAGTACCACTGCTGCCATAGCCATCATCTTTTGTAGTGCAGAAGCAATCTTTTCTATCATGTTCTATGATGTAATAACCACCAATATGCAACGACTGAAGTGCAGTAGAAAGTGAATTAATACTCATTCACATTACAAAGGGAAGCACAATAAAAACATAGTTAATGCCTACTGACCTATATAAGCAAGTCAAAGAGAGCAAATATAATACCTGATACTTAAAGAATCTATCAGATGAGAACTCCAGGAAAATTTTCCTTGCAGTGGGTTTAGAATTAAAACTCATTTCTTTTGTAGATGATGTAGAGCGCAAGACAGCTGGACAAATCACATTCTCATTTTGAAGGCTCCTAAAAGTAACCAGACAAGATAAATCATGAGAAGAATTCAAACCGACACATATTTTCTTCTCTTTCGACTCCCTGTTAGAACAAGCATTCAGCTCATAGATGGAAGTGCGAAACTCATCCTTCAATGAACTTACTGATTCCTTAATAAGTTTCTGTCTCTTATTGGAAACCTGCTCCTCATTATTCCCGCTGACACAATATTTCGAAAGTTCTTGCTCCTCATTATTACCACTGATACAATATTTTGAAAGTTCCTTTGTCTTATCCCTTGAAACATTGCATGGATGTGAAATTCCACTCTTCCCAGCAAGCAATAAAATGTAAGGCAAAAGTATAGCTTCAACAAAAGTACTTGACTTGTTTGATCTCATCCTCATATTATTAGAATACTGCAAGAATTGAATTGGAGCATTAGCAGCGCAAAATTGTTCACAAGTGGGTACAAATCAACATTAACATCATCTTTATCCCAAACTAGTTGGGATCAGTGATAGATGAAGCCAAATGAAAAGTACGAAAAAATTAAGGAAAAAAAGGATAAAAATAAATTTAAAAAATATAAATAATACTAGAAATGAAAACATAATAATAAACAATTAAGAATAAAATAAAATAAAGCAAAAATAAAATACATAAGAGAAAAAATAACAAAAGAAAAATAAAAAATAAGAAAGCAAAAATAAAAATACATAAAAGAAATTTAAGAAATAGAGAGATAAAAATAAAGAAAATAAATAAAAAAGAGAAGAAAAATGAAGAGAGAAGAAGTGAAATAAAAGAAAAGAAGAACAAGGAAAAAAATGAGTAGTAAAGAAAGAAATAAAGGAAGATATAGGGGAAAAGGACTAAAAAGGGACCATCTGCAATATTGGAAGAAAATCAGGTCTAGCTTTCCTCCAATTCATCCTAACACACACAGTCCGCCAATCTATATCCAACTTAATAAAGTCTTACTTTACTATCTTCTCCCAAGTAAGTTTCAGCCGACCTCTTCCTCTTTTTGTTATATTCTTGGTAACACACTTTTGTTCTTACGAGCACATTGAAACACCTCGTATGCATCCGGTGTATTAACTCATTATGGTATTAAGCGTAAAAAAATTAATTATAGAAAATACTTTACTTTATCACTTACACTTGTGATTTAGCCATTTATCATTATATAAAAGCGTGAGTTAACTCTCTCTTTTTCTTTCCTTAACATGATATTAAACTCAAATAATAGTGCCATAGAGTCCATAAGTCCTTCCACTGAAAAACAAACAAAAGAAATAAACTCTAACTTCATACTATTAGATGTATTAGTTGTTACTGAGTTACCTTGTATATTTTACTCAGTTACTGTGGTACATTTTATTATTATACTTGTGTCCACAGTAGATAGAATTTACTTTGGATCTGTAACTGCTTACTGTTATCTTGTTAGAGTCCATTGGGTATTAATTGAACCCACGAGGCCCATGCTTTAGCTGAGCTGTCCTTCGTCTTTTATAAATAGGACAAGTGTCCCATCAACGTGTAACTTTCTCACTTTAATAAAATCAGATCTGAATCCTTTTCACTCTCTCGTTTTCTTCTTCTCTAGTTCTCTCTTTCTCTTTCACACTCTGAGATTTGTTCAAGCTTCTATGGCTTCTACACAAAATGTCAATATGGTATCAGAGCTCTCATTCTAAGGGGCTGAGCCATATCATCCACACACATGTCTTCCGCTTCAGATCCAAACGCGAACAACAGCTCACAAGGTGAATCAACTCAAGAACAGCCACGAACTTCTCAAAAAAATTTGATGGAGCCTAAAACCTCTTCTTCTCTCTTCAATCTTCAAGTTTCTGTCAAGCTTACAGAGGATAACTACCTCTTTTGGAATCAGATTATAGATCCAGTCATCACATCTCACCAGTTACACAGACTTCTTGTGAATCCAAAGATTCCACTCAAGTATGAGTCTGATGCAGATCGCGAAAATGATGTTCTGAGTTCCTCATATGTGCAGTGGCTCACACAAGATCAGATGCTACTTACTTGGCTCCTTTCAACTATTTCTGAGCAAGTTGTTAATGATATACTACCAATGAAGCATTCTTTTGAGGCTTGGGAGAATGTACACAAATTGTTTCATGGAACAATGAAATCTAAAGCAAGACAGTTAAGATCTGAGTTCAAAACCATCAAGAAAGGCACAAGGTCAGTGAAGGAGTATCTTGCACGAATCAAAACTATCTGTGATTCTCTAAAGGCAATTGGAAAACCAGTTTCTGTAGAAGAACACACTGAACAGATCCTTGAAGGTCTTCCAGCAGATTATAATGCCTTTGTTATGTTGATTCATGGAAGAGAAAAGTCATATTCTGTAGCAGATCTTGGTGTTGAACTACTAGCTCATGAACAACTATTGATGAAGCAAAATGAATCTCTGATGTCAGAGACTATAGCTGTTAACCTAACATAGCAAACAAAGCAAATAGGAAGTAAAGAAGATGACACTCAGGTTCAGAATCAGAAGAACAGAGGTCAACAAAGGAACTTATCCTCCAATTATGGTCAGAACCGTGGAAGAGGACTATTTGGAGGTCGTTTCAATAGAGGCAGAGGTCGTGGAAACAGATCCAATGTACACTGCCAATTATGCTATAAGTTTGGTCATGATGTTAACTCCTGCTGGCATCGCTATGATGAAAATTTTGTTCCATTTGCCTCCACCACAAAATCCATCTGTCTCACACTTCTTTACACCTCAACCACAAGGCCAAAGGTCATACCAATATGTCAGACCATCAAATCCTCAACCACAAGCTCTAATTGCAAGTCAGCAAGGTCTTCTTCCTGCTCCAAGTTCTGTTCCTATGATGGAATGGCTTCCAGACTCTAAAGCTTCAAGTCATGTAACTGGTGGAGCTCAAAACCTCATACAAAGTCATCAACTACCTGGTTCCGACCAGGATTTTATAGGCAATGGTCAAGGTTTGCCAATAAAAGCCATAGGCTCTTCCTCCTTTTTCTTCTCCTTTTGATTCTAACACTCAATTACATCTTAATAATTTGCTTTTGGTTCCTTCAATCACAAAACATCTTATCAGTGTTTGTAAGTTTGCAAAGGATAATGCTGTCTTTTTTGAGTTTCAACCTTACACTTGCTTTGTTAAATCTCAGGCTTCACATAAGGTTCTCCTACAAGGGACTGTTGGCTCAGATGGTCTGTACTATTTTCCTTCTATTCAACTGCTACAATCTGGTTCATCAGTGGGAACTTCCTCCAATAATGTTTTTGAAGTATCCTCTGTCTGTCATAATACTACTGTATCTACAAAAAATTCTGAATGTCATATGTCTAATAGTCATTGTAAGTCAGTTGGTGACAATAGTCAGTCTTGTGTACATTCACAATCTACATATTCTCTGTGGCACTGTCGCTTAGGACATCCACACTTTGAGTCACTCAAAAATGTACTGAAGTCTTGTAATGTTCATATCAATAAAATGGCAGATGATTTCTGTTCTTCATGTTGTGTTGCCAAGTCACATAGGCTCCTTTCCATATCCTCTACAGCAGTATATAAAGAACCTTTTGAGCTTGTGTTTAGTGACTTATGGGGACCCTCACCTTTAAAATCAACATTGGGTTACTCTTATTACATATCACAAGGTACACCTGGATTTACCCACTAAAGCAGAAATCTGAGGCTCTAGCAGTGTTCAAACAGTTTCATATAATGATCAAAAATCAATTTCAAAGACCTCTTAAAGCTGTACAAACAGATTGGGGGGGAGAATATAGAACATTCGCTCAATACTTGAACCATCAAGGCATTTCCCATCGCCTTAATTGTCCTCACACACACCATCAAAATGGTGTTGTTGAAAGAAAGCATAGACATATAGTGGAAACTGGTTTAACCCTATTGGCACATGCTTCACTCCCTATGCAATACTGGGACTATGCATTTATTTCTGCCACTTACCTTATAAATAGACTCCCATCTTCATCCATTAATTTTGAAATACCCTACCATAAACTCTTCAACCAGAATCCAGATTACAAATTCCTGAGGATATTTGGTTGTGCTTGCTTTCCCTTTCTTAGACCATACAATAGATATAAACTTGATTTTAGGTCCCAAGAGTGCATTTTTCTGGGTTATTCCCCAAACCATAGAGGTTATTACTGTTTGAATCCTGAAGGGAGAGTGTACATTTCTAAAGATGTCTTGTTCACTGAATATAAGTTCTCTTATTCCATATGGTCTCAAAAATTGCCATGTCTTGTTCCTCCCTCATCTATTCCATTGGCTATTTCAACTTCCTTTCTTCCTCAAGTGTCTTCCTCGGGTTCACCTTCTTTGGAGTCCAGTCCATCACCACAGACCAGTAACTGTCTTTCTTCTCCACCTAACACTGCACAACATACTCAACCATCCACTTCTACTCATTCACAAACTACACAGCCTGTTATTCACTCACCTCCTGTCACTAATGAGCCATCCCCTGCCACTTCCCCATCTTCCACACCCTCTAATACTGACCAACAGTCCCCATCTTCCAGCTCTTCATCCTTTTCTCCTTCTTCTCAATCTGAATATGCTCCCTCTACTGACATCAGCACCTTATCTCCTTCTAGATCTATTATTACAAGATCTAAAACTGCAGCACGGAATCTGGCCCTTTTGACTCACATTGAGCCTTCCACAGTGAAACAAGCCTTACTCAGTCCACACTGGTTTAAGGCTGTGCAAATGGAATTTGATGCTTTGCAATCTAACAATACTTGGAAACTTGTTCCTTTACCTCTTGGCAGGACTGCTATAGAATGCAAATGGATCTTTAAAATCAAAGAAAACCCAGATGGGAGCATAAATAAATACAAGGCCAGATTAGTGGCCAAAGGATTTCACCAAAGGGAGGGTTTTGATTATAATGAGACCTTCTCCCCTGTTGTAAAACCAATCACAGTTCGAATTATTCTCACACTTGCCCTCTCTTTTGGCTAGTCTTTGAGGCAACTAGATATTAATAATGTCTTTCTTAATGGGGACTTGGAGGAAGAAGTGTATATGCAACAACCCCGGGGCTTTGAAGCTCAAGACAGAACACTGGTTTGTAGACTCACTAAATAACTATATGGGCTCAAACAAGCCCCTCGAGCTTGGTTTGATAAGCTCAAGTTGTCACTGGTTTCTCTTGGATTTCAGTCCAGCCGATGTGATCCTTCCCTATTTGTTTTAAAGGCTGCATCAAGACTGATATTTCTCTTGGTTTATGTAGATGACATCATTTTCACTGGTAATGATCCTCAATTTGTTCATTCTCTCATTACTCAGCTGCATTCTAATTTTGCTCTAAAGGATTTGGGCACTCTTGATTATTTTATAGGAATTGAAGTTAAACAGTAGTCCCCCACTGCTCTCTTCCTCACACAATCCAAGTATATTCGTGATTTACTAACCAGGGCAGATATGCATGATGCTAAGGCTATTTTTTCTCCCATGCCCTCAAGCTGCAAACTTACAAGGATTGGGTCCAATTATTTTGCTGATCCACACTTGTATCGTTCTATAGTAGGAGCTCTTCAATATGCCACCATCACTCGCCCTGAAATTACCTTTGCAGTAAACAAAGTCTACCAGTTCATGAGTCAACCCTTGGAAGATCACTGGCAAGCTGTGAAACGTATCTTAAGATATCTAAAAGGGACCTGCACATATGGACTGCTTATTCAGGCTACAAATCCTCAGGTTCCATTCTCTTTGACATCCTATTGTGATTCTGACTGGGCCAGTGATCCAGATGATAGAAGATCAACTTCTGGAGCTTGTTTATTCTTGGGTCCAAATCTGGTTTCTTGGTGGTCAAAGAAACAGACCCTTGTTGCCAGATCTACAGCTGAGGCAGAATATAGAAGTCTGGCTCTTGCTTGTTCAGAAGATCACTCTTTAGAGAACTGCAGCTTCCTCTGTCAACACCTCAAATTTTCTGTGATAATTTGAGTGCCATAGCTCTCTCATAATCCGGTTTTACATGCTAGGACAAAGCATCTCGAGCTAGATATTTACTTTGTGAGAGAAAGAGTTCTGGCTAAGAAGTTGATTGTGACTCATATTCCTACTACTGCACAAATTGCTGACACACTCACCAAGCCACTTTCTCCAATCAGATTTGCAGAGTTAAGACAGAGACTCAGGGTGTTGGATGTTGGCATCCCTCTCCAATCACCCTGAGTTTGAGGGAGAATATTAGATGTATTACCTTGTATTAGTTGTTACTGAGTTACCTTGTATATCTTACTCAGTTACTGTGGTACATTTTATTATTATACTTGTGTCCACAGTAGATAGAATTTACTTTGGATCTGTAACTGCTTACTGTTATCTTGTTAGAGTCCATTGGGTATTAATTGAACCCACGAGGCCCATGCTTTAGCTGAGTTGTCCTTCGTCTTTTATAAATAGGACAAGTGTCCCATCAACATGTAACTTTTTCACTTTAATAAAATCAGATCTGAATCATTTTCTCTCTCTCGTTTTCCTCTTCTCTAGTTCTCTCTTTCTCTTTCACACTCTGAGATTTGTTCAAGCTTCTATGGCTTCTACACAAAATCTCAATACATACTAAGCACTAAACAACCAATACTATTTTCCAAAACTGGGATTACATGTCTCCACCATCAATTCTAACATTTTACTATGTTAAACTAAACATCTCAAGCTTTCCAACAAGGTATAACATTAACCATTTGGTTGAGCATAACCGGAGTTATGCAATTCACAAGACGACTGCTTCAAACTGGACTTACGGAAGTAGGGCAGCAACTTTAAAATAGAACTAGGATTTATCCACTCATCCATAGGTCCTAAGAATATATGTGGTTATAGATCTTTGAGTTAGCTTTACAAAGGTTCAAATCTCACTCAATTTGAAGCTCTCTAGCTCAAGATATGCGTGTTTTACTACGCTATGTCGAAATCACTGTGTGTTGGCGCTGGAGGCACTAGCGACCACGAATCTCTGTTTCATGGCACTGGAGGCGCCAGAATGGCACTGGAAGCGCTAGGAAACTGGGGACATTTTGAAAATCTGAGTCTAAAATTCCCCAATTGGGTTATAGATCACTTTCCAAGAGTATAACTTCAGTCTTACACGTAATAAACCATGACAATCAATTACAACTAACAATTCCTCATGATGACCAACTATCTTTGGTATCAAGCCATCAAATTCATAACATTCTCATTACATGAATTCTATTCAAGGTAATGTATCAAAATATATACTTATGTACATCACTTCCCAGTTCTCATGGTACTCAAAATTACAAAGTGTGACACACTAGCCCTCCTAGTTACATAGGTGGCATGAATACTACCTTAAGCCCAAAATACACAGGTTTACATCAGGTAACTCATGCATTATGATTACATATACAAAACAATAATCAATACAATATGCTCAAATGTCATGCTCTCTAGCACATTAGGATCCACTATGTCATTTTCCTCTGATCTCACTAGTACCTCCCTCTTGAGGACCTGAGATATCATATCTCCAAACAGGGTGATATAACAATCTCAGTAAACTAAGGGTCCGTGGAGATTCTTCTGCCCTTAAATTCAATTTTAGTGCACAGGTATTAAAACAAGTATAACATAGCATTTTTCATACAAATAAGCATCAATAACACTAGATCCACTCCATTGGCCAACTTGCCAAAAAGAAAGAGTTCTCGTATGGCACTTCCGAGAAAAGTCCCTACGAGCTCCTCCTCCCAGGTTTTAACCACAAGTAATTACTTCGCAAAACTACACATACATTCTAAGGGAAACCTACACATACATTCTCCTAGCCAGGGAATCCTTTCAGTCATGAATTCACACAAAACATACTTTCTCATATCATGCATCATACAATATTCTAATACAACAATGCACATCCAATCATATAACCATTATTCCAATGGAGTATGGAGGAACATCAAGCGGGATTAATCCCAAGATCCAAGAGTTTACCTTTCGAAGCAATATACTCTAACACTTTACAAGCTTTTTGTCGAGAGATTTCAAAGCCAAAACACCAACTCACCAACAATTTTCCTATTATGAGTAATTAATCCAATCAACCGCACTTTCCACGTAGGAATTCAACAATACCATCACTCAGATATCACAAAACCAAGGTGAGATACTTACCCCAAGTTCTTCAAGGTTCAAGAATCAAGTCCTCTCTCAAGGAGGGCTCCAATGGTGATTCTAACACAAAATCACCACTAGGTTCAACACACCTATATCAAAGGTACACAAAATACCCATCAATTCCAACATAACCCAAAAACCCCAAATCTATAAAGGTCATGGAGTTTTCAAGAAAAACACAAAGAAACTCAAGGAAATAATTAAGAATCCTTACCTCCAAGCTACAAAACAAAGATGAAGTAAGGTTCTTGAACTCCAATGGAGGAAGACTCTTCCTTTTCTCCCTCAAAAGTAGCACCCAACAATGGAAGGTAGTGGGGATTTTGCCATGGTCAAAGGTGAAGGAAAGGTGAGAAACCAATATTCGATATTGGATTATTCATAGCATTACTATACCCTCCATATTCATTGCGGGTTTTCTTGCCCGTGGTGTGGTCACACACAAGAAGGAAGGAAGTGAAATTTGAACTCCCACCTCTCTACCTCTCTTGGTCGAAGCTTTGATGGGGAAGGAGATGAAAATTTGGTAACTTTTGGGTGAAAGAACTGTGGAAGAGGAAAGAAAGAGTCAGAGAGATAGGAGAGATAATACGCACATAAAATATCTTTGTGGAAAAAGACGATTTTGCCCTTAATTTCTCTCATATTTCTCCATCCCACCACTAGGGTCACTTAAATAGAGTTTTTGAGTCTATTGGACCCAAAAGGTATTATACACACTTAATTTATTTTGGGTCTCACCCACTTTGTATAATTTGCACTATTAACCCAACACTTCAATTATTTTCACTTTCGCCCCGAAAAGTGACTTAGCTTTATATTAGCCTTTTCCTCTAATTAACCCTTAATTACCTATTATTCCTTAATTAATGTAATTAATTATCAGGGTTATTACACACATCTAGGGGTCTCGCATTATGTGCTCAAACTACCTCAATTCTCTCATCTTTTCAACCACCATTCTATTTCTACCTTGCATTAAAAATCTTCAATTCTTATCTCATCCATCCTTGTATGATCACACATCCACCTTACTTTCTCATTTCTACTACTCCCATTTTATGCTTATGTTGCCATTGTACTGGCCAATATTCCGCTCCATATACATTATAGGCCTTACTGTTATTCTATAGAATTTTGGGAATCTTGTGGTCACAAAAAAACCCTGATGCACTACGGCATTTCATCCATCTTGCTCTGATTCTATGATTTACATCCCCATCAAAATCTTCACCTTTAGCAGAAAAAAATGTTGATACCATACAGCCATGGAACATATTAGATAGGTAATGCTATACATGCAAAAATTAGAGAAACAAAAAATACACATACTTTCGATACCACCAACTTGTTTTTGGATGGATCTGCAAGCAATTTAACAGCTCTTCATGCTGGTTATGACTTGAAAATATAAGGATTGTATTATATGAATTGTGTAATTAGAAATGTACATAGGGTCCTATTTAACAGCCCAAGGAAGATAAAAAAATAATAAATAAATAATACTACAACTATTATTTACAACACTTCCCCTCTAGTTGAGGAATAAATATTTATCATTCTCAGCTTGCTAATAAGTTCTTGAAATCTGTCTGAAGGAAGTCCCTTCGTCAGAATGTCAGCTAATTGACGCTTAGAGGGAATGTATGGAGTGACGATCAACCCGCTATCAAGTTTCTCTTAGATGAAATGGCGGTCGACCTCAATATGCTTAGTCCGATCATGTTGAACTGGATTATGAGCCATACAAATGGAGGACTTATTATCACAAAGCAGCTTCATCAATCCTTCACATCTTATGCTGAGATCACCAAGTATAATTTTCAACCACAATAATTCACAAATGCCTTGAGTCATAGCTCGAAATTCAGCCTCTGCACTTGACCTGACAACCACATCCAGTTTCTTACTCCTCCATGTCACTAAATTACCATAGAGAAACATATAACAACCAGTGATAGATCGACGGTCAGTCATAGATCCAGCATAATCAGCATGTGATTGCCAAGTCTATTTCTTAGTCCTTTATCAGGAGTGGCTTTAAGATACTGAAGAATTCTCCGCTGCCTGCATGTGTTTTCTTTTGGATTATGCATGAATTGACTGACAATACTAACAACATAAGCTAGGTCTAGTCTAGTATGCGCCAGATATATCAGTCTCCCAACTAGCCACTGATATTGTCCTTTATCAACTGTAGGATACTCCTCTTCATAACTCATCTTGTGATTCTGCTCATTGGAGTACTAGAGGGTTTACACCCAAGCTTTCCTGCTTTTTAAGAAGGTCAAGAACATATTTCCTCTTACTGATAAAAATTCCTTTCTTTGAATGAGCTACTTCTATCCCTAAGAAATATCTCAATTTCCCAATATCTTTAATTTCAAATTTAGAGGCTAGTCGTGCTTGTAGAACATGTCTTTCCAAATATCATCCCCTATTATAATGATGTCGTCCACATATACAAGGAGAACAATGAGCTTCCCATCTTGGGAGTGCCTAAAAAAGAGTGTGTGATCTCCTTGACTCTGTTTGTCTCCTAAGTTTATCATAACCTTAGTAAACCTCCCAAACCAGGCACGAGGAGACTGCTTCAATCCATATAAAGCCTTCTTTAACCTACAACCAGGAGGGATTTGCATATAAATCTTGTCTTCTAACTCACCATTAAGAAAAACATTCTTCACATCAAATTGATTTATATTCCAATTGTAATGGGCATCAAGGGACAACAAAAGCTCTCAGAGTACTCATCTTTGCAACTAGAGAAAAGTTTCTTCATAATCAATGTTATAGGTCTA